GGGACACAGGCACTGCCTGCTCCCGCTTACTACACTGAGATCCCTCCCCTCCTGACCCTGACCGTCCGGGACCAGCATCTCCTACTGTCCACCTCCAAGCCACTCTCCTTCACCGCTATCCCACGCTTTTCTCCACAATCACAAGCCACCTACACCAACCATGGCAGAGAGGGGAGGAGAGGGCAAGGGATGGCAGAGGAGGACAGGAAAGGGCAAGGGAGGGCGGAGGAGGACAGGGGAGAGCAAGAGTGGGCAGAGGAGGGCAGAGGAGGGCAAGGAGTGCAGGAGAGGGCAATGGACGGCAGAGGAGTACAGGAGAGGGCACGGGAGGGAAAGGGTGGGCAGAGTAGGGCAAGGGAGGGAAGGGAAAACAAGGAAGGGCAGAGGAGGGCAGAGGAGAGCAAGGGACGGCAGGAGAGGGCAAGGGAAGCAAGGGACGGCTGAGAGGGCAAGGGAGGGCAAGAAAGGGCAGAGGAGGGCAGGAAAAGGCAAGGGAGGGCAGAGGAGAGCAAGGAACGGCACGGCCATACGCACGTGTTTTGTTCGATGCTACAGTCATATGACGCGACAGAGAGGGCAGGAGAGGGTGAGGGAGGGCTGAGGAGGGGAGAGGATAGCAAGGGATGGCAGAGGAGGACAGGAGAGGGCAAGGGCAGAGTAGGGCAAGGGAGGGAATTCCCTTTCGAAAGGGAGGAAACGAGAGAGGTCAGGGGAAGGCAAGGAAGGGCAGAGGAGGGGAGGAAACGGCAAGGGAGGCTGAGGAGGGCAGAGGAGAGCAAAGGATGTCAGAGGAGGGCAGTAGACGGCAGAGGAGAGCAGGAGAGGGCAAGGGAGGGAACGGGAGGGCAGAGGAGGGCAGAGGAGGACAGGAGAGAGCAAGGGATGGCAGAGGAGGACAGGAGAGAGCAAGGGAGGGCAAGGGTGGGCAGAGTAGGGCAAGGGAGGGCAAGGGAGGGCAAGGGAGGGCAAGGGAGGGCAAGGGAGGGCAAGGGAGGGCAAGGGAGGGCAAGGGAGGGCAAGGGAGGGCAAGGGAGGGCAAGGGAGGGCAAGGGAGGGCAAGGGAGGGCAAGGGAGGGCAAGGGAGGGCAAGGGAGGGCAAGGGAGGGCAAGGGAGGGCAAGGGAGGGCAAGGGAGGGCAGGAGAGGGCAAGGGAGGGCAGAGGAGGGGAGAGGATAGCAAGGGAGGGCAAGGGAGGGCAAGGGAGGGCAAGGGAGGGCAAGGGAGGGCAAGGGAGGGCAAGGGAGGGCAAGGGAGGGCAAGGGAGGGCAAGGGAGGGCAAGGGAGGGCAAGGGAGGGCAAGGGAGGGCAAGGGAGGGCAAGGGAGGGCAAGGGAGGGCAAGGGAGGGCAAGGGAGG